TTGATTCATGCACGGACTAATCAAAGATGAAGAACAGGTTCTTCTTTTACGCCACAGATCAAGAAACGTTATTGGAAGAAGCTCAACAAGAAGAAAGAGCGGGAATTAGCTTGAGGTACGTGTAAATCATAATCTGTCTCTTTAGCAAGCCGCCTCCGAGTGAAAAAGTACCGCATTCAAGTGCCAATCGGATCAAGTAGGCTATTGAATCTTTTTATTTCTGTAATAAACTGCTTTTTTAATTATGGAATTGCTCTTCTCTTATTAGTGATTTGAACAGGTTTAGCTAACTGAAACCAAACGAACTCGTATCCTCAATTGTCGGACAAATGCTTTTCGATGACGGGAAAAGTATAAGACTGTTTTACTTCTTTTATTGCGTAGTTCATAAGTATCTTTAAAATAAAAATAGTTTTTACTCTCGATCTGGAAAATCCTTTCTAAATTTTGATTTATCATTGTGTAACGCGATAAACGCGTTGATGAAACGCTATATAACAAAGGTGGTTTCTTTTTGGCGCTACTCTTTATATAAAATTTTGCTATATGGACCAAAACAAATAAATTTGAAAATGTCACTTATGAACAAAGCAAACAGACGTTCAATCAGTCATAACAATCAGCGTTTTCTCGAACCGCTGAAATAAACGAATCTTTGAAAAAAAAGTTGGGTTGAACTTTTCGCCCCATCCCATGCATTTTCTATGTCCAACCAAACCCAATCCATAAACTTAAAAAAAGTTTGCCCAAGTGGAAGAAAACTTAGATTTACATTAGATTACGAAGCTTACACATCAAATCGACGAAAAATTCATAACATATTTTAGATAGTCCTCTAGGGAACACCGAGCGAATGGAGGTGTGAGCGTTGTCCTGAATTCAAAGTCATGGAAGGTCGTTCGCAGATATAAGTTCCTAAAGCCAAGGGACCGAGCGAGTGCAGATGAGCTTTACCTTGTACATTTGGATCAAGAATATGATATTGTACTTTTAAAAAAGTCAATTAGAATGCTTTTTGTCCACACATTTTCAAATAGAACTGTTCCAGTGTTTTCATGGTCCACATCATTTGTGTGCAAAAATTTTAATTTTCCCATGGTTGCCAGGATATTGAACATAAAATTTTACCCCAACCCATGGGTTAACCCAACCTACCGAGAGCTCTGTTGCAAACATGTTAAGTTTTAGTTAATTGAAGTTTCTGATGGTTTTTTAAAATAGTTTTGTCATTTGAGCTTTTGTGGAACTGCTTCATTAGTCCTTTTGTATCTTATACGTGATAATTTAATTGTTTTTGCAGACAGCTTTTATCTCTCAGTCAATATTTGATCTGATTAAGTTGATTGTAGGTTCAATAAATTTTTAGATTATTCTGAAATCATTTTTCTCGTAAAAAGTTGCGGTATTTCTGTGTTTAGACAAGTAGGCTTTGCGTGTGAGGTCGAATTTACATACTTTTCGAAGAATTCTGCTATCTGCCTCTCTGATGCCTTCTCGGTTTCGTTCTGGTTCCAGATTAAGCTTAACCGTAAACCAACTTTAAGTAGTGCTATTTCAAAGAACAATAGAAACTGTTTGATATTTTAACTTAAGAAGGTGAAGCGAAGAGTATCGGAGCTCAGTGCGAAATGTGCACGCTCTTTTTTCGACATACCTATTTACACATTTTCTTTCCAATCCTTTTTTTTCTTTTTCAATGTGATTTGCTTGTTTATGTTCTTTTTTCGTATGCCACTTCACAAAACGTTGAATGACTCCTTTTTTGTACTATCAGTTTTTGATTTGAATTTGTGCTATTGTATCCATGGCTGCTATTGTCAAAATTTTACTATAATCTGCACTCTAAAAAATTTGTTTTTCATTTTCCAAAGAACGAAAAACATCAGTTTTTCAAAAATTGATTTTGAGTTCTTGAAAGCTGAAGAACAGAATCTGAGTTCCCTATTTGGGACAAATGAAAAAAAAATTCCCATTGATTTTCCACTTCTTTGAAAACCTGAAGAACATCTTTTTTTTAGAGTGTGTAGAGTGAGAAAAAAGTGAGTAGAATAAACAACAATATGCCCAAAAGAAGAGGAGAAGCGAAAGTGAAAAAATATTTTGAAGTGTCTTCTACAATGTGGGAAAGTTTGAGCCAAATCTAAATGGGTAGATCATCCCCCCTTAAAGAAGACTCTATATAAAGTTTTTAAAATGATGAACATAAAAAGAACCTGTGTCTATAATGTTTTTGAACATTTGGAATATGAGCAATATACTGCTCAATCTCTTTTACATACGTAAATATTTCCACTCTAGTTTAAAACTAATCTGAACGTACAGTTAAGATAGATTCTATACAGAGGGTTGTTCGAGCTAGTTGTGATCGAAAGTTTCCTTTAAGGGATCCCACCTAGGGGTGAGGCAGTTCCAGTTCCTAAGAACTGGTCACTAGTTCAGTTTCTGTTGAACGAGAACTGGTTACCAGTTCTTTTCAAGAATTCCAAATAAAATAAAGCTGATGTAGCTAGTTATATTGATTTGGTTCAGTCAACTAAACATACCATCTACCCCTAGCGCACTACACAAAGTCAATGTAAGTAGGTTCACCGGTTTTATTTTAATTTTAATTTTTTGAAAAGAACTGGTACCAGTTCGCGTTCAGCAGAAATTGAACTGGAACTGCCCTAACCCTAGTCCCACCCTCAAGAAAATAACCATTTTTACAACCGATTTTAATAAAACTTACAGAGATTACTAGCTTATGCTAAAAATTTGAGCTGAAAAAGTTGGAGATTTACTAAGTTATAGGTGTCACAAGGAGCTCTCAGCAAAATTGTTACTCCTAAATGGTTCATCGACAATTTTTATATTTTTTAATTTTAAATTTTTAAAACCCCGAAAAAACTGTGTAATCTGGGGCAGTAATTTCCAATTTTCTCGACTCAAGAAGTCTAATTAAAAACTCGCCACACAGGCAATTTTTAGACAAATGTCTTAGTTTCAAACCAAAAACAATGAAGGTCATACGATGAACCGTCTAGTAGCAAAATTAGTTACTACACTAAACCATGTCCAAGGAAAAACGTTAAACAAGTTTGAAGATGATCGTAGTAGTAGATCTAAGGTTTAATCTAAAACCATGAAAAACTAACTTTTTGGGAAAAACCGACACATAGATCCTGGAAGAAGCGTGTCCAACTAAGCAAGAAACTCAATTTTATTTTTTTTTATCAAAAACATAGATTTTATTTTTATTTCTTTGGTCAACTATTCTGCAGCTTTTAGTGCACAGTCTTTAAAATTCTCAGCTGAGGGTGATGCATGATGATTATCATGGTTATATTTCCAAGCTCGCCTTCTCTGCTGCTTCCTAACCAAGTATTATTTCTTGTGAGATTTTTTCGTTTATGCCCAGTAATTCTTTTCTATTTCTCTGCTATTTTGTTAACACAAAATGGTAGAAAATTACACTAACAAGGATATAGGAACTTTCAAATATCTGTTTCAAACATCTTTTTTTTAAACAGTTTGATTATGCATTCTTCTTTTTTGACGGCAGAATCCGCTATGTGATTGAAATAAAAAGTTAAATCAGTGAATACTATCTTAAAATAATAATTCTTTATGATTCATCAGATAAAAATACGATTCATCAATCGTTTTTTCTTCACACATCAATTAGTTTTAACATGTATACATTTTACTTTTTCTATTGAATATATCGAAGATTACAAAAAGCCAATAAATTAACGAGAACATCATGTATACAGACCCTGTCACATTCACGCTGAGACCTATTTTTTTTCTTGTTTCTTTTTGTTCGATTTATATTTTTCTATAGACTACTGTAGAGAGAAAAGAGAGAAAGACAGAGAGAGACTAACAGCTGTTTTTGCATTCAGTCATAAAACCGACACACCTCTTAGTCTATTCTTTTTTTCCGTTCATGATCACGTTCTTTTTTTTCTTTTCTGTTGGTTCTACGCGTTGTAAAACCTCATAGTGTAATATCCAAAGGAAAAATATATCACTTGTTCTACAATAATAAAACCGCGTAATTTCTACGTCATTAAATGGCAATAGAGTTTTCTTTCGTATATGTCAGATCTTATTATGTTGTTAGTACTACTACTACTACTACAAATAAATCGAAGAACGTCATTTCAATATGATATATAAGAAAAAATATATTTTTCGTTTAAACCTTTTTCTCCATTAGAATGAAAGGGTGAACAAATCCTAGAGAATCATTCTAACCTTAAACTGTCAAAAATAAAATAAAAAGTTTTCATAGGTAAAGATTCGAACATTGTTTTTGTTTTATTGAAGAAAAAACGGCTCAATTGTTAGTAGAAGAAATTGTACACTCAAGGCCAAAATTATGTTTTTTTCTTATCGATCCTCCCGTTAAATTTATTAGACTGTACAGCTTTCAAGTAAGTACATTTTCTATTGTTTGTTACATCGAAATGCGAAAGTGGAATATGTGTTGGTGACTAGAAAAGGTAACTATTATTTTGTTTTTATGTGATAAAAAACATTCCTTGATATTAATGATTATTGTGTTTCGTAGTTATTGTTATTATTGTTTGTGTTCTTACTAGAATGCTAGATTTAGTAATATTTTGGGAAAGTGATTTTAGCAGAAAAAATGTTGCTTATTTAGTGATGCATTCCCTTTCATCTGCATTCGCTTTACAGACGTTGAAAGGTACTGAATCTTCTGCACACACGATGAACAATAAGCTCATTTTTTTGTGCAATTCGTGATTGCATGTAGTTTAATGAAATTATGTATAGAAAATTGTACAATTTTAGCTTCAGCAATTTATGTTCTAACGGTGCGTTAATCTCAAAGTTATCTCAATAAGATAACTGACATCACCCTCCTATAACTCATAAGTCTAAGTTTCCACGATAATTTTCACCAGTATTTTGTTTACTGATGATTCATTGTCTCTATGTAACTTTTATTTTTCATTCAAGATCAATTAAAGACTGAGCGTTTTATTTAAACAATGTTCTCTCGAACAATCTCTCATCCGTTAAGGCAGAGTAAAAAAACATCATCCTTGTCATCTTTTTTCATTTGTTGTCACAAATCCACAACAGGTTTTTCGGCTCCATCTACAGTCAGCAGCTCCCCTGATATCTTATCATCAGTTAAATTGGACAGTGAAGAAGTGACACCTGAACATGGGTCCGGTTTTTATAAAATGGTCGAATTATTCTATGATCGTGCTGCGGGAATATTAGAAGATAAACTTGTCGATGAAATGAGAAAATCAAAATTAACAGATGAGCAAAAACGTGTTAAAGTACGCGGAACACTAAAAATGATTAAACCACCAAACTACGTATTAGCAATCACATTTCCAGTGCGAAGAGATAATGGGTAAATAGATTAACAAGTTAAGAAAAAATCACCTTTCGGTATCTGACTGAACTAGTGCAGAACACTTATATATTAACGATCAATAATGATCTTTCAGAGTTTGTGGTTAATAATCCCTCATCGTTAACACTCCATTCACATAATCTGTCATTGGTTTTATTTATCTAGAGAGTGGGAATTAATTGAGGCATGGAGAGCTCAACATAGTTTACATAGAACACCATGCAAAGGAGGCATACGTTACTCGACGGATGTAAATTTGGATGAGGTAAAGGCATTAGCTGCTCTAATGACATTCAAATGTGCATGTGTTGACGTACCCTTTGGCGGTGCAAAAGCTGGTGTAAAAATTAATCCTAAAGATTGGTCAGAAGCTGAATTAGAAAGGATAACACGTCGTTTAACTGTAGAGCTAGCTAAAAAAGGCTTTATTGGTCCAGGTATTGATGTTCCTGCACCAGATATGGGTACCGGTGAACGAGAAATGGCATGGATTGCTGATACATATGCATCGACAGTTGGCTGGTCTAATATTAATGCCTCTGCTTGTGTGTATAGCAACTTAATTTAGCGCGGAATATGTTTATCTGAACAGTTTTCGATTGTAGGTATAACTGGGAAACCGATCTTACAAGGAGGAATTCATGGTCGAATATCAGCCACTGGGCGGGGTTTGTACCATGGTGTGAATAATTTTGTGAATGAAAAATCATTCATGTAAGTGAACTCTGTACTTCTTTTTATCTGTTCAATATATTTTTCTTTCGTTTATTAGGGATATGATTGGTTTGACAACTGGTTTGGCAGGAAAAACGTTCATCTTACAGGTAAGAAAAGAATCACAACGGTAAGAGTCGAGAGGAATGATATTGAATTTTTTTTACATAATAGGGTTTTGGTAACGTGGGTTTACATTCAATGCGTTATTTGACTCGACACGGTGCTAGATGTGTTGGTGTACTTGAATGGGACGGAGCTATTGTAAATCCAGCCGGTATTGACCCAAAAGGTTTAGAAGATTATAAAATTGATAATGGAACAATCAAAGGATTTCCCGGAGCTAAAGCATACGATAAAGCAAAACAGGAATTATTATGCGAGCCATGTGATATTCTTATCCCAGCAGCTAGTGAGCAACAAATAACAGCGAGAAATGCTCCAAAAATAAAAGCAAAAGTAACTCATTAACTTCAGCAAGTAACATGCTTTATTTTTATTTATCTCGTCGTGTGTATTTTTAGATCATTGCCGAAGGAGCTAATGGACCAACGACACCCGCAGCAGATAAAATTTTATTAGAAAAAAATTGTTTAGTTATTCCCGACATGTACATTGTATGTTTCTGAGAAAAGCAGTTTTTTCTTTTTAAGAGTAAGTCTTTTTCGGTTTAGAATGCTGGTGGTGTTACTGTTTCGTACTTTGAATGGTTAAAAAATCTGAATCACGCATCGTATGGACGTCTGACATTCAAATATCAAAGAGATACAAACTACAGTTTATTGGGTTAGCGTATAAAGGCGTACTGTAATAATAATTATTGGCATTAGTCTTTTTTACTTTTAGAAAGTGTACAGGATTCATTAGAAAAAAAATTCGGCAAAATGGGAGGAAAAATTCCTATTGTAAATATTTTGTATATCACTTGTAATACGTGTACAATATTGAGTCGTTCTAGGTTCCCAGCCAAGAATTTTATGGTCGTATGGCCGGTGCATCAGAAGTTGATATTGTTCATTCTGGTCTTGAACAAACAATGGAAAAATCGGCTCGTGCCATAATGCGTACATCTCAAAAATTTAACCTCGGTATTGATTTACGTACGGCAGCGTATGTGAATTCGATTGAAAAAATTTTTAAAGTATATGAAGCAGCTGGTATGACCTTTGGTGTTTAATTTTAGCAAGACAAAAGAGAGAATGCACTAGGATCAGATTAAAATATGTATAGTATAAATGGCTCACTTTTTTTATCACATTTGCTTTTTGATATAGTTTGAGCGTAGAAATATTTTTTACCTTCTCAAGCTATAGAGTGAAACATGCCAATTTCGATATTATAAGCTTTTTCTATTTGACAGTTCTTTCATACGTCTATATAGTTTATTATTTTGCAACAGTTATTATTGTGTTTATTATCTATGTATTCCTTTTTTTGGTTTTATTTTTAAAATAATACAAATCATAGTGCATTTTTATTTGTTTCTTTTGTATTGATGCAATAGTTGGTCTTTTTCAGTTCATCATATCTCCAAATAAACATCATTTTTTTTATTTTGTTTCAGATAGACTTGTATACATATTAAAATGTTAAAAGCGTCCAATACCGATTGTTATCGGCTATTAAAACCATGTCTAGTAGCGAATGGTTTCAAAATTTTACGTGTGTCATTTCATACTAGTCCAATGAACAATTCAATAGGACCAATGTCATCCAGTACAGTGTCATCATCTCCACCGGCCGCGTCATCATCTGATATATCATCTGAACAGTCTTCTCATTCCTCCAGTTCTTCTCAAACACCCGCGCCACATTTTGGTTTCTATCGTCAAGTTGAATTATTTTATGATCGTGCAGCTGCAATTTTAGAAGATAAACTTGTTAATGAAATGAAAACAAAACTATCGGATGATCTCAAACGAAAAAAAGTTCGTGGAATATTGAAAATTATCAAACCATGTAATCATGTACTTGAAATACGTTTTCCAATCAAACGTGACAATGGCGAACTACATGTTATTGAAGCATGGAGAGCACAGCATAGTCAACATAGAACACCGTGTAAAGGAGGTAATTTAACCAGTGTTGAATGCACAATTTCTGAAAGTGTTCAATGAATATTTGGTTTAAGTTTTATGGTAAATAGAGCTTATATGATTCCCTTAATAGCTCATATTTTTTACTTTTTAGAAAGGTTTTAAATATAGCTAAAACTATAAAACGCTGTATATTTTGCTTCGGATCCTGAAAGATGTGCACAAGAAATTCTTTCAAGGAAAACATATTATGGAGTTCAAGAATTTAATATACAGCACAGTTATTATCCAACATTTTGTTTATACTAAAGATATTTATTTAAAAATATTGTGAAATATTTTGATAATAGTGATAAATTTCATTACAAGATAATATGTTCAATAATGTTTTGATGAGGATTCGAAATAAGATTAAATAAGCGTTTATCTAAATGCTGGTACTTTTTCTTTTTTGAAACGTTTTCACCAGCATTCACATGTGCTATTTTTGTATGAATTTGTGAATCTTCTTCTGTAATTAACTTTTCATAAACTTCCTCCGTAAAGTTAGATGTGAACATTGAAACATACAGCCGTGCAAATCGTTCGCACGATATCGACCGATATAATTATCTTCAAAATAATGCA